AAAAAAAAAAAAAAACCCAAAATTTGGTTAAATCCAAGCCACCAGTTTTAATTTCAGTTTCTTTTTATTTATTATTTATTTTTATTATTATTATTTTATTTTGATTACAAAACCTGGTCTAATTGTTTCATAATTCTCGAGTTCAAAAATTGAAGAATAAGTTATAAAAACCCCATGAGTTTTAAGCCAAACCCCAAAAAATTTGCCCGCACATGAGGTACTTATTTCTAAAATAAAGGAGTACTTTTCTTTTAAATTAAGAGATGGTACGGAGTAATCATTCTTAACTGATGTAATTGGTACATATATTTCTTACTAATTTCTTGACTTAGAAGAAAATTATCAAATATTTAAGTCTAATTTATTCCTAAATTAACAAATAAAGTTATCGATAAGAAAGCACACACTACACCTCTAAATATGGTCATCAATGTTCATGGTTTTATGGATTGGCAATAATTGAACTGTAAATCCGCTTTTTATTTATCAATTTTACTTCATTTCTATAATTTGAATACTCATTCATCCCAACTAACACATGATCTTAGATTTTGAGTTTGGAGTCTTACCAAGCCAAGTGTATTGTGTAGATTTCTTAAATATTGGTTGGATCCAAAGAATTCTTTTAGCCCTTGTTCAATGTAATGAATAAAAAATAAAGTTTTGTTTAATTAAATTGTTTTTTCTTAAATAATTTACAATTTGAAAGATTGGAGGATGAAGATTTTTTAAGATGTTGGTGAGACTTAAAACTCCAATTAATTACTTCAAATGCCTTAAAGTTTTGAATGAATTACTTGAACCTTGATTTATTTTAATTAATTAAATTATTCTTAATAATTAAAAATTGTTAGTTAATAATTGATATTAATTTAAAATTAATTTATAAATTAATAATTTTTAACAATTATATTTAAAATAAAAAAATTACAAACCAATAAAAATCAACCAAACTAAACACTGTAAAATTTCACCAAAACTAAAGAAGTTTCTTGGAACTTCACTGCCAATCCAAAATAGGAGAAGATAAGAGTCAAAAACCACTTGATATTAACAAACAATTAACAGCACGTGTGGGTCAGCTATACAGGTAAATCGGTACTTTCGAGAATTGGAAATCTGAATCAAGGGTAATTAATGTGGTGTCATAATTCATAAAGCAATTAAAATTTATTGCAACATGGGAAGTTGGGGAAGTCTCTTACCATTTTGATGAGGCAAGCATTGGATACTCTGAGCTCTGAACGGAGAAAGAAAACCAAAGAGACTGTCATTGCAGTTTGTCCACTAGTGGCCTTTACAGAACCTGCCATCCCAACATCCTAACTCCTAAGGGGTGAAAAAACATAAAAAAGACAGAGAGATTGAGATTAAAAGAATGAAACCCCGGTACGGTGTGGGGCACGACGCCGGCAGGCTGTGGAGTGTGTGGACCTTTTACTCAGTTAAGTGGGTATACAGTGCGTAATTATGTCTGTGTATGTGTCTGATGTTTGGAGTGAAAGATTAAATGTAGAAGAAGATTGAGATTCTGCACCATAATTTAACGAGTCCGGTGTTCTGCATTTCAAACTTAAAAACATCAGCAACTGAGTGTTCAAAAAAAAAAAAAAAAACATCAGCAACTGAGTATAGAAGCAATTCATGGTTCTACAATTTGTTTACCTCATTAAGAGTTCATAAAATAAATACTAAAAAAATTTTCTCAAGAGTGTCGAATTCAGAATGGCCAACTGACAAGTTTATCTGAAAAACATAAACATACCAAGAGAAAAAAAAAAAACCTTTCGTACTGTGGTGCAAGAGGTCTGAATGAATGGTCTTTTACTCCAGAAAGAAACTGCCAAATCCACATAACCCAACAATACAAGAAACTCAACAAGTATGATAGAAGAACAAAAATGAAATCAGATATGCTTAACCTTTCACACACTATGAGCCTAAAAACTCTTTGCAGGTGAAGGAAAGAATGTATAGAAGACCACAATCGCCTATTCAATCAATTGTAGGCAATGGAATTCTGATGCTCATAGAAAAGAAAACATAGGTAATGTATATCCTTAGGCTTATTACAAATACTACATAGCCAAAATTAAGGAATTTTGCACCCCCAAACTTTGAAAGAATAGGTATTCTATACAATCGAAAGGGCGATGTCAAAATGAAATGATAAATGATACTTTTATTGCTCATCCTTCCGAGGATTGGTATGTTGATTGAACAAGTCAAAAACAGAAGTGACAAAATTCTACTCCAGAAATCTCAACCTATGGGAGTGTAGCCCTAACTTCCTTCCTATCTGCTCCAAAAGACTTCAATTGAAACCAAAAGAAACAAAAGGATTGTTAGTATAGCCACAAATATTGGCAATTCAAAATTCGAAACAGAGTTTGACAAGGAATTGGTGATTAGTCAAAGGGGAAGAAGCATGTAAGAGAAGAAAAGACAATGGGAAACTATACGGAGGAATGATTCTCACCTCAACACCCATCCCTTTCGCATACACATATGCGAAGAGTTCAGAAGGTTCGGGCAAGGGACTTTCCTGAAATTAGAATATAAAAACATTAAGTTAGGGGTAACCCTTCAGTGTCTCTATAAAAACAGTACGAGAAGCCAACAACCTAAATAGCTTAGTAGTAATCTCCTTTTACTGGAATTAAGAGGTCTTAAGTTCGAGTTGTATGGTATATGAGTGGGGTTGGTTAACAGATGAGAGAGGGTTGCCTCCCATCGTGCAACCCAAACCCAAGATCCAAAAAAAAAATATATGTATAAACAATACAAGAAACATGGAAATCAAGCAAATATATACAAATAAACTTAAGTAAAATTGTCATCATTTAAAAGCATAGGATTACAAATGTTTGGGCAAGGTGACATAATTACCTTGGCTTGAGCTATGGCATCATCTACCTCTTTTCTCACCTCCTTCTCAATATCCTGAAATCAGAGGGGGGGCGGGGGTGAAAATTACTCAGCTTTTCAACAAATTTATTATAATGATCAGGTTCCAAAATTTGTTATAATGATTTCTCTTTTGCAGCAACATGTTTTACCCCAAATTAAATAAAGAGAAAGAATCTGAAGACAATATGATAGTGTTTCAAAGGATAAATCCAACTCATGATAAATATTATTGTTCATGAATTCACTCCAGACAATACCTTCAACTCTTTTTCAGTAGCTAGGTCATGTGTCAGTATCAGCTTCCTAACTCTTTCGATCGGATCACGCTCCTAAGATTAGCACATAGAAAGAATGCCAATTACGCATGAAACAGATAAAATATAGTGGGAATAGAAAGCTACAAAGAGGTGGCTTTGGAAGAATCAATGTTAATCACACACAAACCTGTCTCACGCCAGAAATCTCATCACGTGTGCGGTAGGTGCTGCCAGGATCAGACATTGAGTGGCCATGATACCTGTAGGTGTCCATCTCAAGAATCTAAACACAAGTACCAAAAGCCACACTAAATTAATTTTTCACATGATATATATAAAGCAGTATGGTGATTCAAAGAGAAGGAACAACTTTACTTTAAGCAACATTGGTATTACAGCATTCAATTGATCATAAGACGACGTTCCTTATTTCCGAAGTTCATCCATGTCATAAACAGTTTGGCTATGACCATTTAACATCAGTTAATCCTTTTCTTGAAGATCAACTACTATTTTGAGTCATGGTACATGGAATGGAACCCAAGAGGTCAGCATACAAAATTTGCCTCATTTTACAATTTCTTCCCACGGAAATAGATTGTCCTGAAATTAAACACCTTCACACAAATTCTTTGCTGGCTATTAAACTTCATTTTGATTGCTTTGAACACCGTAATATACTAAAGGAGTCTAGTTCAAAAACCTCTTGAGAACAACCAATAAACACTGGACATTCCTACAAATAACGGGCAGGACAATACATTACAACTAAGTTATACTTACCCTCTCAACCAAAGTATCTAGGACCTATGCCCAAGCAAGGGCACTTCCAAGAACACATTTTATCTTGTAAATGGGGCTGAATTGCAGCATGACCATTCAATACAAGGCTCACTCCTTTGAAACATTCAATTCATGGGAAAAAAAAAAATGATCTAAAGTTTGTAATTCCATGCAAAACCCTTCAACTCAGGTGGAGTTTCAATAATAGTAGCATACACAGCTAATAACTTCTCAGTAGCTCAATATTAACTTTGGCTGACAAATTGAACAAGGAGGCCAGACAGTTTATACCCAAGAAAAGTTTTATCTTGACATGTATGATGCAAATGTTTAAATCACAAGTTTAAAACATGTCAAGAAGCTCACTTATGGTAACTAGGATTAGCTTTCATACCATTAAGTTTAGATGAAGAGGACACAATTGAGGCACTGAAAGAATTTCAGCAAAAACAGATGCTAGTTCAAGCTCAACAAGATTGGAAACAAGGATTATATAACCAACCTAAGTTGCTAGATGCTGCAATTAGGCTTGTCTTGCTCACACTAACTTTCAAAATAATGATGTTCTGTCATGCATTTAAACAGTATAATTCTCCTTGATTACTTAGGAAAGGATTTCAGTTCTTTAATATTTAAGTTCTGATGTTCTGTAACTAACATGCTGAGATAAAAATGATAGCAGGTAATTCAAACAAACAGCAAGACCTTGAATTAATTAGAGGAGAAAATCAAGGTCTTGTAACCCAAACAGGAACCAAATTATATGATTTGCAAGAGTAGTAAATTCCAAAAATTGTAACAATTGGATGGATAAACTCACAATTGGTCCATTCTTCAAGGCATGCTCTTTGGCAAACTTGCATGCTTGCTTCACTGCAAGGACATCCATTCCATCTACCTACAAGATAGGAAGCATTTGGCAAGCACAATCAAATTACAAAATCTAAAAGTAGACAACAAGCTATTCTTTTATCAGCCTTGTCCTGAGTCTTGGGAATGCAACGAAGATAATAACACTCTTTTCCACTGACAACTGAGAATCACCAAAATTATTGGACTCAAAGCACCTCATACAAAATGATATCAATATTCAGCCATAAATTATGCCAGATGTAAACAAAACTAGGTTCATGTCATTTCTTGTTATACGCATGCAAGGCCCTCTTTTATGCATCAGGTTTTGCCTCAAAAAGGAGTTACAGTTCTTTAACAAAATTTTGCACTTTTCAGTTTTAAGGCTTCTAGAACTTTGAATAAAGCAAATTACTATGAAAGACCAATATACATATGATAATGCCAAAAGCACTTGAATGTACACATTTTGGAATTTCCTAGAGAAAAATTTACTCACGAAAGCTCTGAAAGCAGATCTTTAACTAGCACAGTTACCCCTTCAAAACCAATTTGATGTCACGAAATGAGTAAATGATAAGAAGAGCCACATTAAAGGAAATGGGAGATATTTTGAATTAACTATGGAATGATAAATTGACAATCAACAAACTGCAATAGAACCAGCTCTCCCCTGCCCTCCCCTTAATTCTAAACATAGCAAAAATAAAGCTTCTATCATTTACCAAAGTTAAAATTAAATGGTAGGGCCAATGAGATATTTCTCAGACATAGTAATGATGACTGAGCATTAAAAACTAAAAGGCCAACGTTACTAAAAGAACAGAACAGTAGCTGCACAAAACAATAAAGATTATAATGCAGAAAAATAATTATCTTTAACACCAAATTCACATAATAATCAATCCCACCTTTAAGCCAGGAACGTAGTCCCCACGCTTGTAATATGCAGGACTCTTTGCAGCTCTCCACTCCGCAGTCCCCATACCATCTATGTGGTATTTACATAAAGTTAAAAAATAAGTATAAAGACCACACATTCACAAACAATAAGAATCCATTTTAGTTTTCAGATTTCCTTACAGTGATTATTCTCGCAGACCAGAATCGCTGGCAGATCCCAAAGGGCAGCAATGTTCAATGCCTCGAACAACTGACCCTGGTTTGCAGCACCATCACCATACAAAGCAAATGTCACCGTTTCATCCTTAGCATACTTCTGCGCAAAAGCCAAACCGCACCCTAGTGGAATCTGAGCCCCAACAATTCCATGACCACCGTAAAAATTAGCATCCTTTTTGTAGAAGTGCATCGAACCACCTTTTCCTTTCGAACACCCATCCTTCCGCCCCATCAGCTCAGCAAATATCTCTAGGAGAGTTCCACCGCGCCCTAAGAAGGTGCAGTGGTCGCGATAGGCAGTGATGATGCAATCCTTTTTAGTGATAGCGGCTTCCATGCCTACCGCAACAGCTTCTTGACCGTCATATAGATGGCAGAATCCACGGATAAGCTTGGCCTTGTAGAGTGAGTCCGCAGCGATCTCCATCCTCCGCATCACAGCCATGTCACGGAAGAAGGAGAGGAGCTCCTTTGGAGTGGTCTCAACAGAGCGTGACGGCGATTCGCACTGGTGCGAAGTAAAAGGGACGGATGTCTCGATCGTCAATGGAGTGGTGTCCGTGGAGATCGGGCGGTGCAAGGAGAGGGCTGCTGTGAGTGGCTTGAGAACGGCGGCCGAGCTGGAAGAGAAGGAGGAGAGGCGCGATAGAGCCATCTCGACGGCACGATTTCCCGATCAGGTCTGTGGGATCTGAGTTCTAAGGCGGCCCTCAAACAGCCAGAGGTTAGGTGAGGCGTGGCGCAGAGCAGACTTCTCCAGATGAAAATGGAAAGTGACCAGCGAAAACAACGGTATTACGAAAAAATAATAAACACTTCATTTACATAAAATTTTAATTTTTTAATTTTTATTTATAATTAATTAAAATTTGTCTTAATTTTTTAAGTAAAAAATAATTATTTTTAATAAATATATATAAATTTCAATCATTAAAAATAAAAAAAATTATTTTTAATAAATATATATAAATTTTAATAA